ATGTTGATGAGTATTTTTGTTTATTAAATATTCATAAATTTATTTAAAACACATCTTCCTGTCTTGTAATTATTCTTGATTGATTTCTGGTTTCTGTAGGGTTTTTGTGGGTAGTATGTTGTGTTGTTCCTCCAACGTTAATCTGCATTGTTGTTGCAGCAATTCGATTGAGTCGAGACTTAAAAATTAAAATAATACATAACCATAAAATTTTATTAAATACCACACAAAGCATTCTAAGGACATCACGCTGAATCGTGTTATTTAATGATAAATAAACTATTGGTTTTGATCCATGAGCAAAAAACCAGCCAAACATTCCAGTGTAAATAATATATTTATTAATTCGAAAAAACTTTTTTTTAATTAAATTTATATTTAATAATTTAAAAAATAAATTACTTGCATATAAACATAAATTATACCAGCTATTATATTAATAGAACTGATCAACATAACTTGAATGAATATCTAGGAGATGGAAAACATTATAATTTATTTATGTTATTTTTAAGTATTTCATCTACAACTTATATGTAGATCTTTACTACATATAAATTAAAATGTTTACAGCCCGCACTGTTTTGGTAAAGTAATTTCTTCGAAGAAGAAAACGAGAAAAAACCGTCCCTAATATACCGTATTTCTTCTAATAGTGCGACTGACTCTTCTAATAAACCGACCCCCTAGAGGAAGGTTAAAAAATAAACCGACCGATCGCACTATCAGAAAAAATACGCTATCTTCGATCATATTTATTTTCTACAAAAATTATACAGACCTTTTTCTGAGAGCGACTTGTAGATTTTAATGCAGAGACTGATGATCCCTTACAAATTAATATCACAACAAAAAGTAAATAAGATCCAGGAAAGAGTGTAACAACAAGAAAATTGTTGAAACTGACCATTGGATTGTCATACTTTTAAAAAGAATTTAAAAATTCAAATTATTTAAAAAAACAATAGTTCCAAAATCATCAATATATCCAACATGCGGATTATAAAACCAAGAAAAGAGTACTCCACTAAACAATACAGGTTTAAATGTTGGCCCAAATAAAATTCCATAAAATAAAGGTAAAAGCATCCAAAGCCATGTTTTATAACCACGAAAGAGACGCTCGCCAATTGACGGCATTGAAATTTCTACACAACGATTTAGAGCTAATAAAATAGCGGAAAGGGTTTCGTTATACCAAAATACTTAAAAATTATTTTTAAATTCAAAATAATTACAAATTTATACCACAAGCTACCATTCCAGCAATGTAAATTGTGTTTGGAAATGAACAGAAGACAGCCCCGTTCAATGCTTAAAATTATTTCCTTTATTTCAATCATTCCTTCTCATCAATTACCTAAAATTCCCGTTAATAATCCACAAATAAATAAACAGAAAATATCATTAATTCCAATATAAAACATAATTTTATAACAAGAATTTTCCAAATGTTTTCGAATTGCTAATACACACAAAATATAGAGAAACTTAAAAAAAAAAATAATTTTTTTTTAATTTTCTAAATTTTATTACCTCCAAAATAAAAAATAATTGAATAAGAATAACGCCAAGAAAAATATGTTGTCTGTTTTCTAAAGGGATATCCTCAATATTATATAAACTACAATTATATAAACGTTGATATTCTTTTGGTTTAAATAAATATATATCCATTAAATTTTTTTAAATTATTTTTAAATATTTTTTTTTTATTTTTTAATAAAATTTTGAGAAATGAATTAAAAGATATTATTCAGTATTTTTAATATTTAATATCAAGATTCGTCAGAAAATTACATCAAAAATTTCATTTGTTTTATTAATAATTTAAATCTAAATATTTATTTATTAGAAAAAGAACAATATAATAAAGGAAGTATTTTTAATTAAAATCTTTTAATATTAAATAATATCCATTTTATTATTATTTTTTGTCAATTATTATTTCCGTTATTTTTTGATATTTTATTACTATAGAAAAGTTAAAAGGAACTTTCTTTAAAATATTTAAATAAAAATCAAAAAAGGTTAAATTTAAATTTTTAAATATATTTTTTAATATTTGATACAAACAGTCAGATAGGAACTGTTGACAGTTTTAAAAAAATTCTTTAAACGATTCATAAAAATATTATTTTAATTAAAATTTCTTTAATATTTTTAAATATTTTATTAATGATGTAAATCATGTATTAAATTAAATTAAAACGCTTTTCTGTTTTTTTTCACATGGACTTTCACTAGACGAATAATAAAAAAAACTTTCATTGGGAAAATTTTTAAAATTTAAAAAAGCACTTAAGTTGAACTTTAAGCTCCTGCCTGACTACTTGATTTTCTCTTCACGTGCTCTTCACAATATTTTCAATTTAATTTCTTTTTTAATTATCCCGCTCGTAAAATGATGCAATAAAAAAAGTTAAACATATTATTTCAAAAAATGAAATATTTTGTTTATGAAAGTGCTGGGAAAATGTCTAATGCCAATTTGGCGATAAAATTTCAATGAAATTAAAAGAGACAAATTTATGGCTAAATAAATCCTTTAAAATGCAGTGGATTTGATTAGAATATTAAAGCATTTAAGTTATAATTATTAAATATGTATAATCTCCGTTATTTAATTTATACAAGACTTGATTTTTTAATTTTTGGGGTGTTAGTTGGATGTTTAATAGAAAATTCAAACTAGGGTTGTGCCAAACCGTTTAATTTTGAAAAAACCGTATACCGTTTATGCCGTTTATCTGAGACCCGTATACCGTTTCGTTTATTTTTGAAGACCCCGTTTAAACGTCCGTTTACCGTTTATTTTTAAAATTTTTTCAAATCAATTCATAATTCTCAAAAATCGATGAAAATTCATTAATTTTGCTCATCCCTCTTTATAAAAATTATAATTCAACAATAAATTCATCATAACGATGGATTTAGAGGGTAAAGAACAGGCTGAAGAGACGCCTGGTGATTAAGCGTGCTATCAGTGGTTTTGGAGATTTGGAGGATTTGAATATATATCGTTGAATTGAGGTGGGATATCGGTAGATTAAGAGTTATTAAAGGGGATCAGAGTATTAAGGGGATCAGGATCTTATATCTAAGGATTAAGGTGATGTAATGGATTTAAAAGGATTAAGGGATCTGAAGGAAAATTGGGGATTTGAAAGGTCTTATTTTGATCATCCCTAGGGTTGTCAGTTTCTTGTAAATCATCGAATATCCGGAACAGAACCGAAAAACCTAACCGAAAATTACGGATATCCGAAACTGGACCGCAAATTTTCGGTTATCCGGGACCGAGCCGAAAATTTTAGGAGGGTTAGGAGTTATTAAGGATTAGCACTGGGGTATAAGTGAATTTGTTTGATATGAGGTTTGATATCGGGTCATAGAAGGGACTCTGAACTGATCAAGGGGGATTTAAGTGATATCAGAGAGGGATAACCTTTTGATTCTTCGATATTATGCCCAAATAAGGATATCAGCAGATTAGAAGGGATGAGGAAGAATGAGAGGTAGCTAGATTTCTTCCTTTTTCAGCGCCGCAGGCGAAAATTTTGAGAATTGTGGAAGGCCTTCAAGCTAGATTTTTTTCCTTTTTTTGCGCCGCAGGCGAAAATTTTTTGATTTTAGTGTGTCAGAAGGCAAAAATGCACGTTTTAAGCCACTAATTCTAGGAAAAAATTAAACGAATTAAACGGCGTTTAGAAGGACCGTATACCGTTTATGCCGTTTATCTGGGGCCCGTATACCGTTCCGTTTAATTTTACCAAAAAACCCGTTTACCGTATACCGTTTACCGTTTAGCTAAACGGTTTGGCACAACCCTAATTCAAACCGTAACATTATTCAAACCGTAACATTAGTTTCTCTAGTTTTTTTTATATTTTTTAGATATTTTTTTTAGATTTTTCTACATTTTCTCTATACATATAATAAATTAAATATCTCTAAAGTCAAATTTAAAAATAATTGGCTTTAGACTATTCCATTTATTTTCTAACATTGAGTAAATAAATTAGGTCCCTTTAATTGGGACCATTTAAATTAATTATAAATTTTGAGCTTTTCAATAATAAAAATGTCAAAATATTATTTAAAACAATTTTTAGATAAAATTAAATAATACTTTCTTAAAATGTTTTATTTAAATATTTATTTAATTATTATATTAATAAATCTTCAGCAATATATTTTTGCCGATCAAAATAAATTAATTGTTAAAATAAAATGGAGAGAAAATAAAGAATATAAAAATTATTCTCTTATATCTTCAAAACCTCCACGATTTTTATTAAAATTAATTAAAAATTGTAAAGATGGAAATAAAGAAATAGTAGAAATTGGAAGAACTATTTTATATGATTTTTATATTTTTAATTTAGCTGGAAAAAAGAATAAAATGTTGTTAACTAATGAAAAAGAAAGTTGTGAATTTTTTGATAAAATTATGAAATTGGAAGTTTGGCTTAATAATGAGGTGAAAAATAAATATATATAATATATAAAATATAATTATGAAATTGGAACATTCTAGAAAAACCAGGAAAACGGGAGTCGGTTTCTGGAGGCCAAAAACACGGGAAAATTTCCCGACTCGGGAGTTGGGATATCCGAGCATCACTAACATGCTTACATTAAAATTAATAATAATAGAAATGATTATTTTTTGAATATTTTCTAAGATAATATAAAACATAGGTAGTTAAAATCCATAATAAGAACAAGATTTAATATATTAAAAATTCAAATCGAATGTTTAAAAAATAATTTTAATTTTGCCTAGACAAATTTGTCCAAACACTAATTGTAATATATACATTTAGATTCACATTACAAGTTTACCAATCGTCGGTCTAAACAAAATAATCACAATAAACACAAATACATCCTACAAAGTAGAGGAATATAATTACCAAAAGGAAACAGAATTTTTAAATCCGAGACGTTTAATAAAATTTATTGTAAATAAATTCGAAAGCAAAACACCAACAGAAATGAGAATTGAATGTAGAAATAAAATTAAAATTTTAGAATTTGATCCAAAAGAGGATAATGATATTTATGAAAGTTGTGAAGCTAAAATTTCGGTTTGCTCTAATGATGAATATTTCCTTTATTATGAAATTGAAGGAAATGAAAAGGTAAAAAATAGAATATAATTTTTTTTTAATTTTTCTTTTTAGAAAATTGAATTACAATGTGAAGAAGCATTTCATGAAGATAATAAAATAAATATTTATTTTATTAATATTGAAATGATTGCAACATGTAAATTAATCTCTCCGGAAGAATTAACGTCCTTCTCTTCACAAAATTTTGAAAAAAATAAAAATAAAGCAAAATGTATTGAACAGGATAATAAATTAAAAGAAGATTGTTTAAATATTCAAAGATTTTTAGAAGCTCCATTGGATGATGGGGTGCTAAAAATTGCAAACTACTATACAAATCTAGGACAGCCAAGTCCAAACACTCCAACTTCAAAAGGTATAAAAATTAATTTAATTGATATACCTAGGTATTTTACTCTAACTAAGGATACTGAATATAATTTTTGTAAAGTGCATATTTATTAATAAAAATAGGGAGAATGGATAAATAAATGAGAGAAATTATTTATAATAAATTTATTAAAAATCAACTAAATAAATAATAAAAAAATCGGCTCTTGTCCAGTTTATGCGTCCCATGAAAGTATATGCGTCCCATCAACAAAAAATTGAATATTTCTTGGTGTTGCAAAGTAGGGGTATGGTTCCAAAGCATTTCTTCATGTTCGGGATCTACGCCCACTGGGCCTGAGACTTTTCCTTGCCCTATACCTCGAAATTTCTGAAAGTTAAAATCGTTTTTCTGAAATTTTAAAAAATTGACTATAACTTTCAGAAATCAGACCCAGTGGACGTAGACGTAGATCCCGAACATGAAGAAATGCTTTGGAACCATACCCCTACTTTGCAACACCAAGAAATATCCAATTTTTTGTTGATGGGACGCATATACTTTCATGGGACGCATAAACTGGACAAGAGCCAAAAAATCTATTTTAGTCACTCCACCAACAATCTCTAACATTAATTCTAACCCTATAGAAAGTCAAGCAAAAACATTTTATCCTGCCTCTTCTCAGTCAAATAATTTAATCCATGGCCAATTAAATCAACATGGAAATAATTGGCAGCAAATTTTACAGCAAAATTCTTTGGGGGACTCTTCTTCTTGTTTAGGCCAAATTGGCCAACAATGTCAGCCAAAACCTTTTCCTCGAATTCCTTCTTTCCAAGCTTCTTCATCTCGCTCACACAACAATTTTAGCACAGATCAAAACCAACAAAATATATTTCATAAACAAAATTCATTCCAAGAATCGTCTCACACAATTAACAACCCTATACAAGAACAACTATTTGGGACATCTTCCTCTTCCCAAAGAATTCCCTCTGTTCAAATACTTTCATCAGGAAAAACAAATAGCGAACCAATATTACACCTTCACCAAATTAACCAACAACACCCCCAACAACACCCCCAACAACATTCTATTAATTACCCAAATCAACATCAACAACTCCCAACTTTATCTATTCCTACCCCCAAAAATATATTTCCAAATAAACAACAAGCTATTTACAATTTTACAAACGATCATTATGGAGGTCATAGAACACCGAATCATTACTCACCTTTTAATCAACAAATTCCCTCGAGAGGGAGCACAACAAATTTATTTGCAATGGGGAATAATCATTATGGAGGTAGAGAAAGTTAACTATTTTAATTTAAAAATTTGGAAATTTAATTAATTCTAAGTAAAAATTACTCATAATTTAATTGTCTATAATTTAAGGATTACCATTAGAATCGCCAACAATGTCTATCAATCAAAGAAATAATTATCAATTAGAACATCAAATCCAAAACCTCCTCCAAAATAAAGTTCCCCATAGTGTTTCAATAAGTTCTTCAACTAGCAATAGTAAAAGTACTTCAACTGATGGGGATAAAAACAATAAGGAAATGATTGAAAGAATTGTTTGTGATTTACAAACAACAATTCAAACAATTAGACATCAAATAAACCAAAATAATGAGCTTTGTAAACACCTTACAGAATTAAAAGAGAAAAGTTTACACAAAAAAACATTACAAGAAGCTTTAATGAATCAGAATGTAAACTTAAATCAAATGGCAGAACATAATACACAATCACAACACAATTTAATTGGAAACGTTGAGGAACAACATTTACAGCACTTTGAGGACCCATTATTATTTCATAATGTTGGAGAACACCATAACAATAATTTATTTGATAATATGGAGGAATTACAACAGAGCATAACAAGTAACGTTGAGGAACAACATCTTCCACATCAACAAAACATTGAAGAAATATTTGGAACAAGTTCAGAACCAAGCATGTTAAACTTTGAAGAAGCAGCTCAACAGAATATCACGAGAAAAAGAAACGTAAACAGAAAAAGGAAAAATTGAAAAATTTTTAATTTATAAGAAATTCTGAAAACTCTGTATATTAAGGTTGGCAGTTCTTGGGAAAACTTCGGATATCTAGAACCGATATCTAGATATCCGAATCAAAAAATTCCGGTTACCCTGGATTTTTTCGGTCCTTATTATATATTTCGATATAAATATACTTTAATGGGGATCAGTTGGCTAACATTTCAAACTTTTAAGTGGGCGTCTAAGATCTTTTACTATTTCTTATCCTAATCAAAATTTAAATTGAAGCGAGAAATTGGGGAATTTACTCAGAGATAAATTTGAGAATCTGAAACTTGCAAAGTTGATTTCTTTCAGAGATAATTAACCTAGGAATTCGAACAAATTTAAATAAAATTGGAAATTGTTAGAAAAGGCCTCTGCCCTGGGTTAAGCTTTTACTTTCTTAAAATATGTATTTTTCCTCCTCAATAATGAACTTATTTATTTCACCTTTATTAATATTTCCTATTATTAATTAATAATTAAAAATAATTATGTATATACAAAACACAATCTTTTTCCTATAAATTTTTTAAACAAAAACAAACAAAAATTAAAATATATTTATAATTTATATTTATTTACATATAATTATTATCTTCTTCTAATTGGTGGAGGTTTCCCTTGAGAATCACTCGTTTGAGGAAGTAATTCTCCATCACTTCCAACTGTCCCAATCCCTTCCTCAACATTTTCTGTCCATCCATGTTCAATATGAATTTGTGGAACATTATGTGTTGTTGAAGTAAAAGAAGATATTATATTGTGTTGCCTTTCAAAAGTTGAGGAGGAAGGTGAATTATTACAACAAGGGCAACGTTCGAGTGATGGTACTTCTTTGCTTTGTTGTCTAAAAATAGACTGGCGTTGGCCTTGTTGTTTATGATTAGCTAATAGATGAGAAGATTGTGATAATGTTGTTGGTTCATCGTTAAGTCGTAAAGGCGGGACTTTAATTAATTAAAATATTAGGATAAAAGGATTTCTAAGCAAAATAAAGAGAAAAATTTCTGATAAATAAAAGGTAAGAGGGTTTATTATTATTTGTGCGACTTAATTGAATTCAAAAAATTTTCTCCTTTTAAAACACCATAAATATCCCAATAGAACCCGTGGGCTTATAATTTTCAATACCCCTAATCGAGTAGGCTTCTAATAGGGCATGGGCTTCTATTAGTATATTTACGGTATTTAAATTTTTGATAAAAATTATCTCATACTTTGGGGTGTTGTTAATTTAGAATGAGGTATTATAATTTGTGGAGAATCTTCTAGTTGATCACCTCCTCCACCTTTTTCCATCGATAATGAACGTTCACGAGAAGACCGTCTCAATTTTGAGGCATTTCGAAGAGTTGAGCGATATAATAAAGTATTACTATTATTTCTTTCAGCATGAGGGGTGGGAGAAGTAAAAGAAGTTGAATAATATTTTGGAGGAATGTTTGGATCGTTTATTGGAGGAATTAAGGCGAATCGAGGTATTTGATGTTGTTGGTGATGATCTGTAGTTTTTAATTTAGGTACAGCATGTGGAGTGTAGATATAACGATCTATTTAATTAAGAAGGTAATTAGAATGGCGGCCATTCAATTAGGATAATTACAGTGAATTAATGACAAAATTAGAAGTTACAGTAGAAACTATTATGTTTGTGAATGCCAAAAGGAAACAGGAAAAGGAAGGCCCTTTAATTAGTCAGCCTAATTAAAGGAAGGCCCTTATATGTATTTATTATTCAGTAATACTGATTTATGTTTTCAAATCTGTATTTTTATTTTAATAATTTCAAAGTAATTTTTACTAAAAAAAGAATTTTTTACTTATACGTACGTGGCGGAAAATTACTTTGGGAAAAATTTTCTCTTTACGTTTTAGGTTCTACCAAAAAATTTTCTTTTGGCTATTTATTTTTGTGTATTTTTGTAGCCTTATTTAATACCTATTAAATGTTACACTAATATTTCCTTTAAATTCTACCTTCTTCCAATTGTTTCCCTATCAAAGTTTCCAACATTCTCTCCAGCCTACTCAATTTATTCAAAACCCCAGACATTTCTATTCTTTCACTTCCCCCGTCACAATTTCCATCAAGAGAATTTCCATGTTCCATAATTGTATTTATTTCGTTCTGAACTAAATGAATTTCTTCTTCCGCTCGGGTTGAGGCTATACGAGCTTTAAATTAATTTTAAAAAATTATTTATTTTTAAAACAAGAAAGACCACCAGCATGCCGTTCCTGCATTCTTTGAAGTAATTTCCGAATTGGATGGTCTGTTGCTATTTCCAATTTCTCAATTTTTCGCCTTTCTTCTAATTCTTGTTCTCGTTTTACATCCAAAACTTTACGAAATTTTATCTTTAAAAAATTTTATTTTTTTGTTTTTATTTAAATATATTTACTCGATTTGTTAAGTTGTAAGTTAATACTAAATTTCGAGCCAATGAATTTGCAAAAGGCTTGTAAAAGCTTAAAACTCTTAAGAAAAAATAATTTTAAAGAAATTTTGGGAAAAAATGAGACTTACTGAAGTAAAGGTTCTCTTTTGATGAAATGCTGCAAAAATAAAATTGTAAACAACAGGTACAATAAGTATGTATAAATAAAAGTTAAAGATATTTTTGTTATCACCCCAAGGGCGTATCCAGGGGGAGGGCTGAGGTCTGAAGCCCACTCCCCCTCCCAAAATGGGGGAAAGGGGGAAAATTAAGAGAAGGATGGTCAAAAAAGTGAATTTTTTTCGCCTTCAACCTTCAAATTTCAAAAAATTTCCCTCTCCCCCTTTCATTTTCAAACAAACATAATCAGTTTTTTTCAGAATATAAAATATTTACATAGAAAATTAATTTTTATATTATGAATAAATAATTAACCAAATCAGAATAAGTTAATGCCTGAACCATACACGATGATTGACCGGTTCTATTGTGTTTCCAAAATTCATCTCCAAAAACATCTCCCTTCCCGAGTATAGCCACAACTTCATCATCCTTTTTTAATTAAATAATTAATCTAAAATTATTTATTTACCTGTTTAACCTCCAAAGACCCTTGAACTACAAACCATAAAGCATCAACAGATTCACCTGTATGGTAGAGAAGGTCGCCTAAATTTAAATTTTTTAAAAAGACTTAATTAAAGATTTTTTAATTATTAATGTTGATGGGTGGTAAATAACAATGCAAGTAAATCCTCCCTCCCAAATAACACATTTGTATTTATAAGGACCACGAATAGGGTTGGGTTTTCGAGTCGGGCCGAAGTTGAGTCATTTTTTCGTGCCTCATTTTTATCGGGCTGGCCCGACCGAGTCTTTTTAGGGCCAAATGCCCGACTCGATCCTTCAGACCGGGCCGGATCGGGCCCCCACCCTAACCACGAATAACGGACAACGACGATTAATTTACATAAGTTGAGGTTACTTATCAAGCCCCACCCCCTCCAAAAGATCAAGGTATATCTAATTTTTTCCATTTAATTCTTTGCCTGGTGCTGCATGTATAGTTTCCATATTTGTAGCAAATGCCCTTTTACATCCATCAGACATTAATTTAAAACAAATGTGTTCATTAAAAACTTTTCTATTCATATGAACACACTAAAGAAATAAATTTTAAACAATATTTGTTAATTTAAAAGAAACAATGTCAGCCCGCATATCTTTCGGGCAAAAGCCAAGAACTTTATTTGATTCGATTCCTTTACTTATTGTCCAAGTTGAAACAATATAATCAACTACTTTTTCTGCCAAATCTTTGGGAATTTCTTGAAGACGAATAAATTCCCGAACATCGCTAATCATTTGGTGATATCTTAGAGAAAAAAAAGAATTTTTAAATCAAAAATTAATTCAACACCTTTGTGTAGAGGAGGTCATTTGTTGTATTATTGTAGTCATATGACCAAAAATAGCAGCATACAAAAGTGCAGAAATAATCATCATACAACTAAAGATATGTAAAACTTAAATTTTAAAAGGATTTTTTTATTAAATGTTGAAAAAAACTTCTCTCAAATTAACAAAATTATTAAGTATATTTATTTATTTTGGTAAGATAATTAATAAGGGAATTGTATTAATTATTAGGTAGAACATGGATTGATATATTTTTCTCGAAATTCGATTTGATGGATCTGGGAAGACCTGTGGATATACGGGATCGAACCTGATTCTGAACCAAAACCTTTAAAACTTTTTTTAGATCTAAATCCGCCAACTTTACTCAAGATAAAAGATAGCGCTATTTAAAACTCTGTAAGTGATTTAAAAAATGCCGTTTTTCGAAAGAAATATCTCTTTCTTCATATCGTAACGTAATAATTATTGACCCTCAATTCCCTATTTGACTCTACTTTGTAGCGGATCCTATTTGTTTATTGTTTTCAAAATTATCAAAGAAGTACAGAATATACTAACATTCCAAATATTTTTTCATTCATAGTTGTACTCGCAATATTTCCAAACCCAACGGTGGACATACAAGACATTGTGAAATATAAAGAAGACACATAACAATGTGTTTTATCTGGACCTCCAACTAATCTACTTAGATTTGAAGCACTCGAATTAAATGGCATTTTTAAGTCATATGAAAGACGAATTAGCCAACTAAAATTTAAAATTTTTTAAAAAAATTTTATTTAAAAATACCCATCAGCCAAAGTTTGTTCTTGAAGAAAATGAAATTTATTTCTAGCCTCGTATTCACCGATTACATACCAAATACAAGCCATCCAGTGAGCTACAAGGACATAGGCACAGAGTAAAAGTAAAAGAGTTGCTGCACCATATTCCAAATAATTATCAAGTTTACGGGCAACTCTTCCTTTAAAAAATATTTTTTTGAATTTTTTTATTTGAAAATGTTATCTCAACAATATTTTTTATATCATTTATTTATAATTTAAATAAAAATTCACACCAAGTCGGAGAAGACGGACAACTTTTAGGGCACTAAATAGAGAGGCAATTCTCTACAGAAAAAAAATTTTTATTAAAAAATATCTAGAAATCAACTTCATCGTCCTGTTTAAACATATAAAATATATCATAAGGCAAACAAGAAAGTAAATCAATTAGAAACCAAGATTTGAAATAATTATGTCTAATTGCTTTTGGGTCTATTACTACCTTAAAAATATTTTTAATTAAAAAATTAATATTTTTATTCAAACTTCTCCAACAGGGCCAACAAATGTTGTATGGAAATTAAGTAAAATATCAGCGAAAAAAATAACATCAACAACAGAATCGAGTAAAATAACATAGTCAATACCTTTAAAGTCAAAAGTACTTTTAAAATTATTTTAAAAACCCAGAGGCGTTGGATCTCGATGACGGAAGGCAATATTGAATGGCACCATGAACGCCTAAAATAAATATTCAAAATTAAATTCTAAAAAATAATTACAGTATAGAATGTGAGCGCCAGAATTGACCAGTCCCAAACTTAATTTAATAAAAATTTTTATGAGGGCAAAAAATAATTTTTAAATAATTATAAAAAATATAATTGAATTATAAAAAATAAAGCCTACCAGTTTTACTTGTGGAATAATGGAGAATGACTAAAAATAAAAAAAATATGGGTCCAAAAATATTTACGTATATTTTAGAATTTTTAAATTATTCGAGAAAATTAATGGAACTCAAAATAGTAATAATTTAACTAAACATTTCAATTAATCTTTGATTTCAAAATTAAAATTTAAAAAATTAAAATCACTGTGTGGTGATGTTTTTGGTGTCTCGTGTCTATATTGTGGCAACACATCTCCTCCCAAATTCATTAGCTGCTTGATTGTGCGATTATTATTTTTCATAGAATTTTTTTTAATATTTTATTTAGACTAATAAATATATAAATTCTTTTTAAATTAATTATAAAAAAAGTTTAAAATTTTCTTTCATTTTTTTACCTGATTAAAATTAGAACCAATAACACTTTGTGCTGGTTTAAGATCTTTCGTCTCGATATGATTAGGTGTAAATTGCTGTCTATATTTGGCTACTCTGGCAATTTGTAAAATGCGTGAAAGACCAAGGACTGGTTTTTAAATAAAAATAAATAAATAGAAGAAATCCTTTAATTATTAATAAATATTTTTAAAAAGGTGTCCAAAACTCATTAACATTTACTATGTATATATTTTTGTGTTATGGATATTGAGTAGTTAAATATATATTTAAAATTTTATGGCAAAATTCTCATGACTTAAATATAATAATTTTTTTATTTATTTTCAGGCAAAGTACTGGACTTTTTTGGTAGAAAAAGTTAAATTTGGACCATTCAGATAAGACTTACTTTTATTATTTTCGCCCTCTAACGGTTCCTTCAGAGGAGTAATATCCTTGAATTGACACAAATACAAAACTACCTAATTTTAAATAATTAAAATTTTTTATAAAAAAATATTTAAAATCACTTTATTTTTAATATCAATTCCCCCACTCCCTCCAACTTTTGTCGAGCCAGTTTTTTTTTCTGTTGTTTCTGAATGTCCTCCCCCAACACCTGCTTCAGTCCCTGCACTCCCCATTATTGGCTATATTTATTTTTAAATTAGGCATTTTTTTAATTTAATAATTTACAGATATATTCATTAATAACCAAACATTCGTCTCTGAGCAAAAAAAAAATAAAATAAATTATTTAACTAAAACTGGCAATTTAAAAATTTATTTTAAGGGACTGATTTTTCGAGATAAAAAAATTGATAAAATCCCAGTTCTTTTTTATCCAAATTTTCAAAAAAAAAATTTTAATTTATTTACTATTCTTTTTGCAAAGGCCAATTTCAACTTGCTCTGTTTTTGCATTTTCTAAAGCATTTTGAATTTTTTGAATTGCTGACTAATAAATATAAATTAAAAAATAAAATTGTTAAAATTTTATTTTACAGTGTCTGTATGGTCGCTGTACATAAAGGAAAGACTAAAGAATTATTTTTTTGAATTTTAATGTTAATAAAAACAAACGATGCATTCTTTTGCATTGTTTCAGCACGACTATAACCAATCATTTTTGAAAAACTTTAAAAGAAAAAATTTTTTGATACCGAAAATATTCAAAAAAAAACAATTGTAATTTTTGATTTTAATTTCCCTAACCGCTTTTTCTGTCCTCAATTTACTTCAATTTCTTAATAATTTCCTCAAAACGAGAGAAAAAAAATTATTAGGAACGTTTACAAATAAGTAAGTTTTGAATCCATTTCATATAAATGTGATGTATTAATTTAATTTATGTGCATATTTAAATGACAATTCCTTTATTAATGACTGTTTAATTCAGTATTTGAAACCCTGGACCAAAATCGTAAAAAATTTGGAACACTAAATTATTTTGAAACACTATTTGAAATTCATAGTTAAATTGAGGACTGGAAAAAGGGAAGAGGATCGGAATCCAAATTAACAAAAAATTCCTATTCAAAAAGAATCTACATATATTTTAATGTCAAAATTTAATACAGACAAAAAGTATGATTAAATTATAATTTCCTCCAATTAATAAAACTCCATAATACAAACCCTTCGTTGCAATAAACAATTGGATAATCACAAATTTGAGCATTTGCCAGGATAAACGAGGATTCTATTTAAAATATTTTATTTAATAATTTTAATAAAAATATTTAAATTTTTAATAAATAATATGTATATAAATTAAATCTTTTTAAAGAAAAATCAAGTAAAATTACCAGTATTATTACAACGTCTAATAACAGAGTCTAGAAAGAAATTTTGGGGTGCTACAAGACCTCGTCTTGCTACCATTATTATATCAATTTATTTAAATTTTATAAAAGGCAATAGGTAAATGATAGAAAATATATTAATAACATCAAATTATTATTGTTAATTTATGTTGACTATAATAATTAGACAAAATCTGAAAATAATTCATTTTTAATATCTTTGTAAATATTTAAATATACATATTATTAAATAGATATGAGGTCAAAATTGGAGGCGGTACGAATTACAAATAATTCTGAAATTTCTAAGCAATGATTCGGAAAAATTAATTTTAAAAATTTTTGTTAAAGTTTATGCTACATATATCTGCAAAACCTAGGAACAATAAGAAGCATTTTAAAGCAAAGCTGCCGAGCCCATCTTCAGAAATAACAAAAGGTTATGGATTCTGAAAGTTCTCTTACCATTTAACTTTACAATACTAACTTTAAATTTTTTGATTAATAACTAAGTTGAAGGAGGGTCTTAGCTGGCCTTACAATTACAGAGAATTTACATATAAGTTTAATAAAATAAAAATTTCTAAAAAAATAATACTTTCTGCTTTTAACCAGAAATTAAAAATAAATGTTAATCCCTTATTTTTTGTCGATAATTATTTCTTTTTTAGTTAAGTAATCTGTGCCGTCAGAAATTTTAAAGTAAGCCGAGTATTATTTTTTAATAAAATGTGTGTTTTTAAATGGCGTTTATTTTATAATTTTAAAGAAAAAATAAAAATTAAAGTTTAATATATTGTAAATATGTTCGTCATAATAATTTAAAAAATAATTAAAAAACAAGGAGATGAAATTAAAATTGTATAAGTTTAATTGGAATCTCTCGTTTAAACTTATGCCAAAAACTTTTTTATAACAGGATTTTAAGAAATATGTGAGAGCGTGATCAAGCAAAATCCCGTGACGATTCGCACCGGTTACTAATTAAAACAATAAACGTAATTAAAATAACTTTTTAAGTTTAATGGGAATTTTTCGTTTAAAATTACGCCAAAAACAAAGATTTTAATAAACAGAAATACTTTAAGTAAAGAAGTAGCAACTCTCGTTTAAAATTAATTAACAACCCTCGTTTAACTTCCTTAAAATATAGCAAAAATATTCGATTGTTAAAATAATTGTTTGTTAACATAAATAATTTGAAATTAAAAAAAAAATAAGAGTAAAAAAATAAAAATCCTCATATATTATTGAACTAGAACGGCAATAAAGATGAAATAGCTTTTAGAATTTTGGCATAACCCCCTTTCCCTTTTTAAGTAAAATAAAAGGTAATTGTTATTTTTGAGGTATTATTGCAATACTGCCGTTTATTATTTCCCCAATCCATTGTTGTAAACCAAAAACCCGTTAAAGTGAGTAAAAAAGAAGCAAAAATATTATTAATATGTATTTCTCCTCTCACCTTTAACACAGTTTATTTTTTTAAATAATACCCAATTTTTTGCCAATTCTTCACAAAAAATATTCTTTTAAGTACTTTTTTTATTTTCACTCAATTTTTTCAGGAAAAAGCAGAAACTGAGCCTTTTTAGAAAAAAGGGTCAAAAGACAAACAATATTTATTTTGGATAGGTAGAAGGAATGAAAAAATATTTTTTATTTTTTTTAATAAAAATTAAATGATTTTAAATAAAAAATTAACAAAAATAAATTTAACTAAATAACAATAAAATATAATTACTAAATATGTGAATACAATGTACATATTTTTTGAATTTTTCATTAGTATTAAAGTTCCCAAAAATATTCAAAAAACTGTTCAACTCTCGAAATGGCGAGAAATATAAATGGAAATAAAACTCTCTCTTGGCAACAAAAATATTTTTTGAATTTTCATAATTTAAGTTTGACCAGCTTAATAATTATAATTAATTTGTATATTATGTTAGAAATAAATTACAATATTATTTTTTAGAATTGTTTCCATTTATTTTACTTTACTAAACAAGTAAAATAAAGGTTTGTAAATACATATTGAGAAAAAAAGGAATAAGGAAAGATATAAAAATTTTTTTCAACAAACCATTTTGCGCAATATATACATACACTTTTATTTTTTTATAAGAATATATTAAATGTCTGTCAATAATATTTTGTTTAAAGCTTTTGCTTTCTCTAGCATACTAAAAAAGTGGAGGTAATTTTTTGTAATTTTATGAGGACTATTTATAGAGGTATTTTATAGTGCTTCCCCAAAATAATACTTGTTTCTTAATAAATACCTGCTTATACATATGTCTATTAAATTAATTTTGTTTTAAATAAAGTCACGGAAATATTGGAGAACATTTTATACAAGAAAATTAATTTAAAGTAATTTTTCTTTTATATTCGATCAAAAGAAAAAAAATATGTTTAGGCATCAACTTAATATTAAATGTAAAATTGAATGAAGTTTTAAAAATAACAGATTTTCAGAAATTATAAATGTATTTACAAATATTAAAATAATTTTTACAAAAATTGTAAATAATTTCTTTATTAATTAAAATTATAAAAAAATAGGAATTTTTGTTTAAAGAACCCCTTCTTTTAGTGTTTCTAAATAATTGAAGGGAAAATATTCAAGCAAATGAGAATTCCATTAAAAAACATTTTATACATCATAAATACCATTCCTTTAATATAAATAAATATTTAAGTATATATCCATTACATACTCCTGTTTATGAATTGCCTAGCAACCAAACAAAAACGTCTTAGGATGTTGGAAGATAATGACACTTTCAAATAATAACTACACATTTAAAAAAGGGGATAAACTGAATTTTTTGAATGATGAAACTTTGCAATATTGATCAATTCCTGTTTAAATTGATCAAAATTTTTGTTAAAAAACAATGTATTTAGGTGTAAAATATTTTAATAGTAAATTAGTCTTTTATTAATTTAAAAATTAACAGTCAAAGGAAATAAAACACGTGAAAACTAAGTGAAATAAGATAAAAATCAGTAATATTTTCCTAAAATGTCGAACTTCGATAATAATATTATCCATTGATTTTCCACGCGGAGCCCGCATCAAACATGGATAGTGGGCGATATCATGGAATTTCGGCAAACTAAGATTTTCGGCGGGCTGTCAGCAAAATCGAGGTCGAGGTTTGAAATTACCGGTACTAAGAAGGATTAATCAGCTTGGATTAATCAGTTAATCAGCTTCTTCTACTAAGAACTAAGAAGAAGCTGATTAACGAAAATAACTTTGATTTGGATGATGATCACACGTATTACTGTCAACTAAAGCCCAATACGCAGCACGGATGATGAATAGTTTTTAGTAAAAGTATTGTTTCTATTAAAATTATGTTAAATACTGTTTTAAAAAATTACTCGATTATTCGAACGCGAACTCGACCTAAAAAGTTGAACTTGGACTCGGGTTTTTCAAACTCGGCATACTCGAACTGGACTTTTTCCCAATTACCGGTACTCGAAGAACTCTATTTTATGGGTGTATCTTTAGCCTCGGTCCTCGGCAAGGTTCTTGGCAAGGCCCGAGGTCAGCAAAATCGAGGTTGAGGTTTGAAAATGGGCGAGGACCTCGGCCTCGACCTACTCCAGTTAGAACAAGAGAAATGGAAATCAAGTACACGGTTCCTTGTGGTCACTCCTAAAATGCCGGAGAAAGGATAGGATATAGTTCCCTTTTTATTCTTACGCTTGCTTTAGAAAAATCGAAATTTCGAAACAGATCTATTAGACATGGGTTATTAATCGTGATAGGACTCACGAGTTTAATTGTGTAATAAAGGAAGAGGGGCGAAGAGTGATGAAATAAACAAAGAGGAGTGAAGATGGAGCGTAAAAAAAGAGGGAAGATCTCGACTGGTTATAGTAAAGCAAGCGTCGAGTTAGTTTAATTAATTCATTTATTATATATTAATTAAGTCAAAATGTTAAAACAATTTGTTTAAAATTAATTTTGTTAATTTACTCTAAACAAGTATTTTGCTCTATTGGAAGACATTTCTTCCAACATTGAGGCAATAGATGAAAATATAATTCAACAAATTACTTCAACTCTAAACAATGCCAAAAATTGTTTTGACCCAGAAAAATGTGTCAATACATTTCTGAATGAAATGGCCAATTTTGATGATTTGGCCCGATTTAAAGGAATTTCTGCTTTTTGTGAAAATTCTAAAATAAGCTTTAGCCTGGAAATTAATGATCTAATCATAGCTAGATTTTACAATAATACTGAACCTTTCCAAACAACTAGTTTATATTAGACTAGTTGTTTATATTTTTCTTCTCCCTCATATTTTATGCTCCTAATCGTGAGTTTTCTTAGAAATTGTTCTACAAGGTAAATACGGTAACTTCTCAGATATCTTTGTATTTACAAAGCTCGCTAAACATCAGGAATAATATGTAAATAAAATTAAATACCGTATTTGACTTAATTGAATGACTCCTCTATTTGAATGACCCTTCTAATTGAATGACCCTTTTTTGAGGCTATTGAAAAATAAAATGACCCGCTCTATTTGAATGACCCCCTAATTGAATGACCCTTTTAGAGGTGAAAAAAGCCTGAACCTGTTTCTGGACTCATTTATTACCTGGGTCCAGGCCAAGATGTCGGGTTTTAGATTTACAATAAATTATCAAATTCAATTAAATGGTAATAATATACATGGGGATTAAGAGGGATATTGAAGGATTTAAATGATATCCAGGGATTTAAGGGGTTTATAAAGGATTAAGGTGAATAGATGTGAAATAAGGTGGATATCAAGTAATTTAGAGGGATTAAGACGGATATTAGTGATTTGGGTATAAGTGTAATATCGAGATTCTGGGGGATTATGTAGGATTAAGTTGAATATCGGGAGTTTTTGCTGGGATATCGGGCATATTTAAGGATATAGAGGTGCTCTAAAGGGCTCTTGTCCAGTTCATGCGTCCCATGAAAATTTATGCGTCCCATGAAGATTTATGAGTCCCATAAAAATTTTTGCGTCCCATGAAAATTTATGAGTCCCAAAAATAATTTATGAGTCCCATAATAATTTATGCGTCCCAAATGACCTTTCAAACTTTCAAACTTTGACCTTTCAAACTTTCAAACTTTGACCTTTCAAACTTTTCAAAATTTTCGCCTGCGGCGCAGAAAAGGGAAGAATCCTGGCTTAGGGATCTTCCGAAATTCTCAAAATTTTCACCTGCGGCGCAGAAAGGGGAAGAAAACTGGCTCCTGGACCTTCCAAAATTCAAAATTTTTGCCTGCGGCGCTGAAAAATCTAAGAAAACTGACTTAAAGACCTCCAAAATTACAAAATTTTCGTTTGCGGCGCTGAAAAATCTAAGAAAACTGACTTAATGACCTCCAAAATTCTCAAAATTTTCACCAGCGGTGCTAAAATGGAGAGTTGTAAGCACTTATAAAAACTCACATACGGTTCTTGTTTACAAGTTTAAGGAAATGTTGATGTATTTATATGTCATATACAGGTGGTGTCCGGAAAATTGGGCTCTGGAAAATTGGGCTCCAAGATTTTTCGGAAAATTGGGCTCCAACTTTTCGGAAAATTGGGCTCCAGCGGAATTTTGGGCTCTACGTGAAAAAAACGGAAAATTGGGCTCCAATTTTTTAGGCGCGGGGAATTGTGGGCGTCAGAGTGAATTTTTGGATTTATTCGAAAAATGACACAAAATTCTCTGGAATAACTATTTTTGTAATGTTCCTAGTGGGTAGATCGGCATTTCAAAGCTGAAAATCAGTAAAAAGGAATAGGTTTATGTTACTGTTGTAGAACAATTTTAGGAAAAAATCTAGACAAAAAAAGGGGTAAACAATTTTAGGAAAAAATCTAGACAAAAAAAGGGGTAAACAATTTTAGGAAAAAATCTAGACAAAAAAAGGGGTAAACAATTTTAGGAAAAAATCTAGACAAAAAAAGGGGTAAACAATTTTAGGAAAAAATCTAGACAAAAAAAGGGGTAAACAATTTTAGGAAAAAATTTTAGGAAAAAAATTTTTCTTCTCCCTCATATTTTATGCTCCTAATCGTGAGTTTTCTTAGAAAGTGCTGTTCTACAATGTAAATACGGTAACTTTCACGGGTTCCGGGTCGTCCCATATCGAATACCTTTGTATTTACAAAGCTCGCTAAACAACAGGAATAATAAAATAAAATTAAATATTTTAATTTTAGATAAAAATAACTACATAGATATCATCATTATTTTCTTTTTATTTGTGAAATAAATAAAAACTTCATTAAATCGAATTTAAATTTTATTTTATAGACAGAATTTAAATTATAATACAATTTTTGTTTTATTTTTAAAAAAATATTTTTTTAAATTCTTTCTAGAGAATGAATAAGAACATTGAAAATGATAGAAAATCCGACAAAATTATTTGTATTTTAATAATTATTTTAATCTCTTTTTCATATTTTTTATACATTCTTTATTGCAATCAATTAATTTTCACATCAGAAGAAAATTTATCTTCAAAACCTGGATGGCTTAAAAAAGGGGTAAACAATTTTAGGAAAAAATCTAACAAACATTGAAAATTCCCCATTACCCCTATATTACCCCAAACTAAACAAAAATATAAAAAACATGAAAAACTTCTTGAGAAGGGAGGAATGAAATTAAAAATTATCGAAATAATTGTAGCCAGGAAAAAAATATTTTAAAAAGTCTGCAAAATTTATTTAAAAATTACTAATAAGTATATAAATTTTCAGATAAGAAATTATAGCCATAGACATTTTAACTACCTAATACCCTTAATCTAAATTTAATAATCTAATAAAAATACATAGTATAAGTATTTATTTTAGAGCATTCCTATGAAATGGCCACAACCACTAATTCTTATGTGGAATAATTATTATGGTGAAAATTTTTTGAAATATTGGTCAATAAGCAATTTAACTGAACAATGCCCTTATAAATGTCGTTATACTGATGATAGAAACTTGTGAGTTTTTAAGAAAATGTATGAAATAATTCGATTGTGGATGATAATTTTATCATACAAAAAGTGGAATCCATAAAAAGTCACTTCCATTCAAAAGTTCAGTTCGGTTCCGAGGATTCCATTATATTTTAAATAATAGATTTACCTAATTAGAAAATTGTAAAAAGTATTTAATTAAAAAACATATTTTAGGGAAAGGAATGCAACGGTTTTGTTTTTCCACATCCGGGACAAAGTTGATCCTTTGCCCAAACAACGATCACCAGAACAATTATACACATTTTTTGTAATCGAATCTCCGCCTCACACTTGGAATTGGGGAAGATATTTTCCTCGCAATTTTTTTAATATTACAATGACATATAGATCAGATAGTGATGTTAATGTGCCTTATGATATGTTTGAAAGTTATAATTTCCAAGATTTGGACAATTATAAAATAAGTTTAGATGACATTTGGACTGAGGATGAGGTTATTAATAAAAATTTGATAATTATTTATTAAAAATTTTGTCAAAAGCTTGTTAATACAGTCAAATCTTACTACCTCTCCTCCCTCCCCCCCCCCCCCGCAAGTTGAGTATTTTGATAAATACTTATTTTAGAAAAATATTTTTTCGAGAAAAATTTCTTATGCTTTGATAAATTTGAGAAAATATTTTATTTAAAATAAATCTTAATTAGTTTAAACACCTAATAATGATAGTAAATTTTTATATATTTTGAATAGTTTCTTTTTCTAAAAGCTCGTTATTGTATAAGAGAAGAGGACTTTTTTATTTTATAGTCTCATATATTACCTCCTTTTTTGTAATTGAATCACCAGTAGCTTAGTAAACGACTTTCAGTCCCAAGATGGATCAAAATGATATTCGACTGTATAATTAAATTCTTTTAAAGATTAATAGTAAAATTTCCAAAAAAGAGAAGTTAACTTTACAATTTGTTTCAAATTGCAATACAAATTCAAAACGGGAAAAATATATTGAAGAATTAAAAAAATATACAGAAATCACACAAATGGGTTGGTGTGTTGGGAAAAATGATTGTGGGCGTGAATGTGAGGATAAATTAATTGGTATGTGGAAATTAACTAAAATTAATTTGTTAATTAGGAAAATATTTAAATAATAGTTTTGGATGTTTGTATATACATATTTCCTTGTATGTTTGTAACCAATTTTAAAACAAAAAAGTCTTATAAACTTGAAATCGGAACTAAAAGACCAAAAATTGGCTATAAGAAATTTTAATTGTTACACTAAACTCCTTGTAAATCAACACAATACCTAAAGACAGCTTTTTAATTTTCAGATTCCCATTTCTTTTATTTGGCCTTCGAGAATTCTGTTTGTGATGAATATTTGTCAGAAAAGTTTTGGAGAATTAAAAATTTGATTGTCCCTGTAGTTTTGTCAAGAAAAATTTTTAAGAACGAAACTATTCCGAAAGACTCATTTATTGCGGCAGATGATTTTGCAACTCCAAAGGAATTAATAGAATTTCTGAAAGATGTAGCAGCAGACAAAAATCGTTATAAAAGGTAAGTTAGCTTTAACTCTTATTCATCATTATAGACAATTGAGTTTTTAGACTTTATATTTAAAAGTTTGCAAATAAGTTTAGACTTTTAAACAAACTTAAAATGTTTGGAAAAAGTTTTACCCTGGGTAATTATTGTTTCGATCTCACGCTGGAGGGGGTAATTATTCGAGAGGAGGTGCTAAATGTGGGGTATATCTCAATAAATTGAGGAGGGATTAATAAACTGTTTCAATAATTAAAATTGACAATTACCTATCTATTCAATATATTTAAGATTTGTGTAAAAAATGTGTGGGTAATTATTAAAGAGGGTAATTATTTGAGAGAGGATAATTATTCGGGCTGTACATACATATATCTTTAAATTTCAGTTATTTTAATTGGACAAAAAAATTTAAACGAACAAAATACGCAAAAGAATTTTGGAACCCAACTTGTAAACTCTGTACTTCTTTACAACCTTTTTGTGATCTTTGTAAATTAGCACATACAAACAAAAAGGAATTGAGAATAAATAATATTTATGCTTTTTGGGATGGAGGAGGGAAATGTTTACATGGTTATGCTGAAAATGTTCTTTTAAATTAGAATTTTAATTGTTTTTTTAAATACGTGTATTTAATCCGAAGCACTCATCACACACTTTCAAATTCGTTCTGAGAGGATTATTTTTTTAAGTTTTTAGATCGCGATATTATTTATTTTCTCATTAAAAATTAATTTATATTTTATTCAGAATTATTTTTAGAAATTCTTTTAATTAAAACCAAAAACAACAAAATTTAAACTAAAAAACAGAATTTTCAATTATACATTTCTAAAACATTTTTTAATTTTATTTATGTATGTTTCTAAATATTTCTTTATCTATTTATTTATAACATTTATATGCTTCTTTCATTCACATAATTTTTTAAGATAATTTTAAGTTTCTTTAAGTACATAGTAAGGTTGGCTGATCCGGATATCCAGATCCGAAAAAAGGCCGGATATCCGAAATTTTCGGTTCGGATCATTTTTGTTTTATACTATTTATCAATGGAAATGTTCATAGAATTTTTTATTTTATTTTTAGTAATTGTTTAAGGGCGTTTTTGCTAGGTTTTACAAACTGTTCAATGTATTTTGGAACACCTCATTTTTTGAAAATTTTTCATAATTTTTGTTAAAATTTTTGCATATCTAAAATTCTTTGTAAAATAGGGTAATTTTTGAAGCTGAATCAATATTAAAAGAAATTATAAAAATTGGACAAATCTAAGTTGACTTATCGGAAAAATTGGGGGTGTCAACCTATTTTGGAACGGACTTTATTCCCTATGTTTGTACAGAAGATAAATAAATAAAGTTTTAAAATTCGACTTGATAAAAACAATTTTTATTTTTTATATTTAATTTTTTTAATTTTAATTAATTAATTGTATTTCATTATTCAATTATATTTTATTTTAAATTATTGTTGGGAGGAAATGTTTGAGATTAAATTTTTAATTTGTAAAATTCAGAAAAATGATTGAAAAAATATTTTTGTTATTTTTACTAGACAGCAAATATATTAATATTCAAAACACTAAAAGAATATATTTATTTATTTTTTTTAAATAAATTCAATTTTACTCTAAAATAAAATTTAAATTGTTTTTAATAAATAAATAATTATTATAATACAAAAAATGACTAAAATTATTGTAAATAATTTAGTACAATTTAATAAAAAAAACTTTTTTATTGTTATTCCCTTTTCAAAAAATATTTCTATCAAGGGATGATAATTTAACTAAAAATTCTAGATGGCTTAATTAGTATTAGAGATTGCGCGACCATTATGAAGTATGGGATTTTATTTTATTCCGAATTCAGATATCCGAACTTTTCGTTTTTTTTTTTAAATATTTTTAATTTCGATATTTTTGAAATTTTTAGATTTTGGATCTATGAAAAAAATTTTTTATTCAGAAACAACTCTGTTCATGACCAACTCCATTTAGTTAGAATTACCAAAAAAGTTTTTGATGATTTTTGATATAAAATGCGGATTTTTTATTTCAAAATTGCGGATTTTAAAAAATTCGAAATCCGAGCCCTGTTTTAAAATAATGCCCTATTTTTGCACTATTTTTGAGTAGCTGCGCCCTATTTTAGTGTTTTGGAAAGGACAATCATTGTTTATCATATATTAAAGGTAAAAATTAACGTAAGTTAAATGTTATTTCAAAACCTAAAAATGTTAAATATCGAAATTTCGAATGGCTCTGCTTGAAAATCGAAATTTCGAAACAGATCTTTTAGACATGGGTGATAGGACTCGAGTTTAATTGTGAAAGGAAGAGGGGTGAAGAGTGATGAAATAAAGAGGAGTGAAGATGGAGCGTAAAAAAGAGGGGAGATCTCGACTGACTATAGTAAAGCAAGCGTCGAATTAGTTTAATTAATTCATTTATTAAACTAATTTAATTAATTTTATTATATTTATTAAATAAGTCAAAATGTTAAAACTAATTGTTTTAAAATTAATACATAATGTTAATTTACTCTAACAAGTATTTTGCTCTATTGAAGAAGACATTTCTTCCAACATTGAGGCAATAAATGAAAATATAATTCAACAAATTACTTCAACTCTAAACAATGCCAAAAATTGTTTTGACCCCGAAAAATGTGTCAATACATTTCTGAATAAAATGGCTAATTTTTATAATTGCCATTTCAATCATTTAAAGGAATTTCTGCTTTTTGTATAATTTCAAAAAAATTCGCTAGAAATTAATTATCCAATTACAGCATATTTTTACTGAGTAATATTAACTAAATTGATTCCTGGCTGAAAGTGGAGTTTGAGTTAAGGAGCAGAGATGGATCGGAATTCCGAGTTCTTGTTGGTTTTCGAAAGTTCAATATCTCCTGATATCCTCAACCCTGATCCCGGTCACTCCAAAAAACACAGTAAAAATAACCTTACTTGGGCAAATTCAATTGAAAATACAAAAAATCCTCTCTCTAATAAACCCCAACCCATCTACAAACCCCAACCTAAATCCTACAATATCTCTTTTGATCCCTCAAATTACACTCAAGAAAGCACCATAATTTGCCACTTTACAATTTTAAATATTAACTCAGTTTTGAAAATAAAATTTTATTTCCGACTTCCGATTTCCCACGTTTTTTTTCCTTCCGATTTCCGAAAAAAAATTTTGATTTCCGAGTTCCGACTTTTGAGCCAGTTCCGGTTTCCGGCTCTTCCTATTTCTGATACCTCTGATTGTTCCGACCCACCTCTGTTAAGGAGGAACGAATTACTATTAAAATTATGTTAAAATACTGTTTTCTAACCTAGGCCTCGACCTCGACCTACTCTAGTTAGAACAAGAAAAATGGGAAATCAAGTACACGGTTCATTGTGGTCGTTGCTAAAATGCCGGAAAAAGAATAGGATATAGCTCCAGTTCTTATTTATACGCTTGCTTTAGCAACCACAGCTTTAAAAATAAAAAACACAATTGCTTATTTACACTTTAAGAGAAATTTTTCTTAATTTGCCAGAATTCTCTCCAGAATGCCGGAATTCCTTTCTTTAGCGACAAAAGGTTAAACGTTTGACAAATTTCGAAACCCAAAAATTAAATGTTAAATATCGAAATTTCGAATGGCTCTCCATGAAAATCGAAATTTCGAAACAGTTCTGTTAGACATGGGTTATTAATCATGATAGGACTCACGAGTTTAATTGTGTAATAAAGGAAAAAGGGCAAAGAGTGATGAAATAAAAAAAGAGGGAAGAAAATTGGACTGGCATTAAAGCAAGCGTCGAATTAGTTAGAATTACAATAATTCATTTATTACATTTATTAATTAAATTTTAAAAGGTAAAAATGTTTAAAACTATTTGTTTTAAAATTAATTCTGTTAACCCCCGATTTACGGTGATTTTTGGGGTCTCAGGATCTTGGCTCAGGGTAAAGATATGGGTAAAGTAATTTTTTATTTTTCATAATATCATGTATCTTTGCTAGAATTTTTGTAGATTTTTCCTAGTCTTGGAAATATTTTTTTGAAAAGTGGACTGTATACTTTTGTGGAGTTCGAAAATGAAAATTTTGGGCTAAAAATTTTTTAATAAAAAATCAGCCAAAAATCGATTCACATCTTGTTAGTTTTTCACTAGAAGGTGTGTATCAAAATTTTCAGAAAATTTGGATCATTGGAAGTGAAAAATCTCGAAAAAAAGAGCGGACACACGAGGAGGTGCGAACATTTGCCAAAAATTTTTCCGCGCGACTTCCACTCTGTATCCAAAAAAGGGATACACACTTCGAAAATTCTTAATTATATTAGATCCTTAGTTATTTCTCTATCATGTAAATTTTATTTGATCTCAATATCCTTAATTTGAAGAAAGTTATTCCATAAATAGTTTGTCCTAAACATTTCTTGTCACCCTGTACTAATTGGAACAGTGTAGTTTATATGTACACCCATCTCGAATACCTTTTGTATTTACAAATCTCGCTAAACAACAGGAATAATAAAATAAAATTAAATAATTTAATTTTAGATAAAAATAAATTATAAATAAATGAAACATTTATTTATTTTAAAAATATTTTTATTATTAGTTTTAAATAATATTTTTTGTAAAAATGATAAAGAAATTATTGAGATTGAAAAGATGGAAAAATTAACAAATTTATTTATTAAATTTCTTTCAAGCGATTGTAAAGATGAAATTCCTAGTGAAGATTTAATTATTGAATCAATGAAGTTTAATTACAAACAATTTCTAGATTCTTTAATTAATTCAGGTATTTTAAAATATTTTTAGTTATTTTTAGGTTTTTTAATTAATGTTGAATAATTGTAAATGTTTGTTACTAGACAGTTATTAGAGCTCATAAATTTGGTGTTCCGATAAAAGTTAGAATTTCGTTCCTAGATATTTATGGCTAGCAAAGTTTCCTCCCAGCCTAGTCTCATTATCAATTCACATCCAGTATGAGCGAATTTCGCGTTATTTATTCGAAATTACCACAAATACAGTGCTTCTAATCTTCAACAAAAAACGCAAGACCGGCCGAGATTTTCCAAGTCCAGTTCTCTAATCGGTCCGGGTCTTTAACCCCGACGAGATTACCAGAAAAATTCGGCCGGATTCCGTCTTGGCTATATTCTTTACTCGTATTATTGTAAAAGTTTGAATATTGACAATAATATTAATATATGTATATAGCTATTTACATACGTTAAAAATTAAATATTTATAATTTAAAGTTCCAAATAAAATAAATTCAACATCTCATTCAATATCTCCAAACTTTTCTGAAAAATTTGAGGAATTTGTTAATGAAAATTTAAAAATAGAAAAACGTTTAAAACAAATAAATAATTCAAAAAAAGAATTTTGTGTTTTACATTGTTTTATGGAAAACTGGATGAAAAATAAAATACTTTTAAGTAATGAATTGTGGAGGAATGAGATAATGAATAGTAAATTTACTGAAATTTTGAATATTGTTAGTTTATTTAATTATCAATTTGTAGCCAGTGCTGGGTATGGTTCCGTCAGCTAGCTCCGGAGCCCGGCTCCGAGC